GAATGAAAGCTGGCTGCCTGATGTGTCTTGACAAGGGCTGATGCTCCCCAGCGTGGGCATCCAGTGCTGTCTCCTCTTTGACTCTGTGTTCCAGGATGGAGCAAAAGAAGCTTGCTAAAATTACTTCTTAGGAGGAGGTGACTTGGGAGAGAGCGTAAAGCAGGCAGGCTTTTATTTTTGTATTGTTACTCCCCTTGAAGGGCCTGTGAGATCCCAGGCTTTTTTCTTTTTGTCATCACTTCAATTATTGTGTGACAGGCACTAGTTTCTGCAGCAGGAAAATTGGTGGCTCATCTGCTGGAAGGCAGGTGTGGATAAACAAGGTGGAAATCTCCCTGCAGGCAGACTTTGCATGCCAATTTAAAATTGGCTTCCCCTGTGGAGGGATGGGAGAGGAGGTTAACCCTGACATGCTTAGGAAGGCATGAGTTTCTCGCTTTGACATTTAGATGGCTTGACTCTTGTTTTGGATGTGCAGCTTGCTTCGGAGAAAGTCCCCAGGGGATCAGAGTGCAACATATAAGGGAGTGGGCAGTGAGTTGTGTTAATTACCTGATGCAAAGACTGTAGTTGGAGAATCAGTAATTCTGGACACTGTCATACACTTAAGCACAGATTTGAAATTAGTTTTCTGAATTAGAAAGACATGGGCTCTTTGCCTCCCTTACAGAGAGGAGGAACTTTAGATAGAGCTGAACCACTGCACCAGCTGGAGATGTATCTTTCCTTTTTCTCATTCTCCTCCCTGACCACTATATTGCAGCTCTTAAATTCTGGATCACAGCCCTGCAGGTACCAGGGGTTTTTGGAGTGAAATCATGCCTGACCAATCTAATAGACTTCTATAATGAGATGATTGGCTCGGTGGATGAGGGGAGAGCAGTGGATGTTGTTTATCTTGTCTTTATCAAGGTTTTGGATACTATCTCCCATAACTTCCTCACAGACCAGCTGCTGAATTACAGACCAGATAAGCAGACTGTGAGGTGCATTGACAAATGGCTGAACTTCCAGGCTCTTGCTGTGATCAGTGGGATGAAATCTAGCTGGAGACTAGCCACAAGGGATGTACCCTGGGGATTGATACTGGGGCTGATACTGGTTATCGGACTCATTAATGGTTGGAATGGTGGAGCAGAGTGGCACCATCAGCAAGCTGGCAGATGATACGAAGTTGGGAGGGGTTATTGATATTCCAGATAAGTGTCCTGTGATTCAGGGGGACTTTGGCAGGTTGGAGAAGCAGGCAGGCAGAAACCTCATGTAGCTCAGAGAAATGCAACATCCTGCACCCAGGAAAGAATAACCCCATAATAACAACAGCCTGGGGGCTGACTGTCTGGAAAGCAGTTTTTCAGAAAAGGACGTGGACAACAAGGTGACCAAGAGCCAGGGATGGGCCCTTACAGTGAAGAAGGCCGATGGTATGCTGGGCTGTGTTGGGTGTACCTTTGCCACCAGTTTGGTTGTGGCCTTTCCCCAATGCTGAGCTCTAGTGAGGCCACAGCTGGAGTTCTGTGTCTAGTTCAGGACTCTACAGTGCAAGAGACATGGATATACTGGAGTGAGTCTAGTGAAGAGCCACAGAGATGAAGGAATTGGAGCATCTGTCATGTGAGAAGAGGCTGTGAGAGCTGTGACTCTTTAACCTTAAGAGGAGAAGGCTCAGGGAGGATCTTATTAATGTGTATAAAATACCTGAAAGGAGAGCCAGGCTCACAAGTGATGTCCAGTGACAGGACAAGATGCAGTGAGCACAAATTGAAACACAGGAGGGTCTGAACATCAGGAAACTTTTTTTTGTGAGGGTCACTGAACACTGACAGAAGTTGCCCAGGAAGATTGTGGAGTCTCCATCCTTGGAAATACTCAAAAGCGATCTGGACATGGTCCTGGGCAGATGGCTCTAGGTGGCCCTGCTTGAGCTGGGCAGGTTGGACAAGATGACCTCTAGAGCTCTCTTTCAACCTTAATCATTTTGTGAATAAAGAGGTTGGAGCCAAATTTTTCTCAAGGGCAACACACAGAAAATAAAATACAGGAGGTCCCACTTAAGCATTGGGAAAAACCAAAACAAAACATAAATACACCCCCAAAAAACCCCCAACAATTTTGTATGGTGAGGCTAGAACAGGTTGCCTAGATAAATAATGGAGTGTCCATCCTTGGAGATACTCTAATCTGACTGGACACAGCCCTGAGCACCCTGCTCTGCTTGACCCTGCTAGATGACTTCCAGAGGTCCCTTCCAACCTGCACTGTTGTGTGAGTGCTTCAAACCAGTTTCTGGAGAAAGTCAGGCAGCTTGCTGTCTGAACTCGACAGTAATCAGACTGCTTGAATGGTTTAGCTAGGTGCTCTCGGGAGGGCGACTGGCAGAGCAGAGGGAGAGCTGTGGGCAGGCCCAGCAAAGCTTTGTGTCCTGCTGGGAGCTGGCCTGGGGCAACCAGCTTTGGGGGATCAAAGCAGATGCCAGGAGGCTTTTGCTAAAGCCTGAGAGAAAGAAGTGGGGGGCGGATGGGACGATACAGGGGGAGGGCTTGTGGGTGCAGAGTTGGGTCTCTGGATTGTGCTCTGGCAAGTGTAAACTGTATATCTGAGCACCCTTCTAACTAGCCACATGGAAATCGTCTGTGAGCTTGAGGTTGCCAAAAATACTTCTCCTTCCTGCTTGTGTTGTCCTGTCCTTTCCTCTGTCTGCTAGTGGTTATCACTTAAGCCAAATTGTTGGCTTTTGACATTTTCTGGCCCTGCAGTCCCTCATTATCGCCTTTCTACCCTGCCACAGGATTCCTAGACATCAGTCGTCCTCTCCTTCAGTCTGGCTGTTAGCTGTTCCATTCTGCACAGTCCTGAGATGGGAACCACATTTTCCCTGCTTCCTACACATCCTGACCGGCTCCCTAGCACCTCCTGGAAGAGTTTCAGAACCTCTGGTTGCATTTCCCTGCTTGCCTAGCGGCATGTTAGGATCCCACAGAGCCTGACGCCTTTTGCTTTAATGTGTCTGACCTCAGGGATCAATACTACTGTTTTGGCCAAAGAAATAACCGTGCATAACGAGGTTTATAGCATCGATTCCCCAGGCTAGGGCTCTTTGTTTTCACAAGCCACCAAGCTTGTCCCTCCCTTCCAAATAACCTGGATTGACAAATAAAATGTAAAAAATCAATAGTCGTCTCCATGCTTTTCTGGCCTGGGGGCATCCATGTGACCTGAACACCCTCCCTTTCCTCCTCACCCTGTAGCAATCAGTGTGCTGCATCCCCACGTTGCTGGGCTGGTTGAGGTCTGATGATAAATGTGTTGCTGCTTGCATAGAGGGAATAGAAATTTTTTCCTTCTCAGGAATGTGATTTTTAAAAAGTGTTGGGGAGGGGGAGAGGAACTGTAGGCTGCTTCTGAGGTGTTCAAAAATGTGGGTGGGCAGGATGTGCTCTTCATCAGCCCCCCTCAATGGTTGTCATCAGATATGCAAATGATTACAGTTGTTGGACTAATTTTACTCTTTTAAAAAAATGAGGTTGCTAGTGAACCACACCACTGCTAGTGAACACCTCACTTGATTGCCACTTGTTATCCTTTGATAGGAGTCTCTGGGAATCTGCCCTGGATCAAGTGGGTTTTGCGGTTCTTACCATCTGTCTTCTGAGGTCTGCTCCTACCAGACTGGTAAAGGGCATATTTGTATTGCTGCTCATTTTGGGAATGTTTTGCTCCTTCCTGTATCACAGCTTCCCAGGAAGAGCAGCACAGCACCCAGCCTTAGCAGGATAGTGTACCCTGTTGCCTGATGTTTGCCCAGGGCAGTAGAGACCAAGGCACATTCTGGTTGTAGCTGGTTTCAGCTGAAGGTTGCTTTCCTGTGTGCCAAACGTTGCCTTCTGGGGAAGTAAAAAATGGAAATTCTCATTGATTTGTGTTACCTTTCTCCCAGTGAAGCTGGGAAACTCCTCCCAAAAAGGAGAGAGCAGGGGAGAGGCTTTCGTAGTTCTTGGTCTTGATTTCAACTTAAGTTTTAAGGCAATAATGGCTTTTCTTAATTAAAACCAAACTTGAGATGCCACCTTGGAGAGCCAGTCACACACACGTGAGCTTCTTCTCCACTTCTTTCTACTATGTAAGCTTCATATCTTCTGTTTCAGAAATACTCATTTCCACAACCATTTTCACTAAACAAGCTCTGAAAAACACAAAAGCAAAGATGCAGGTCTGCCTTTTGATGTTACATACTAGTCTACTGGGTGTCCAGCTGCACCCAAGAGCTTGTGTGTGCTCATCATTTTGATGAACAGGGTGCGTGGTCTCCTCTCAAACTCTGGGAAGGTGTTGTTTTTAGTCTGTGTCCCTTGCTATAAACCAAAATGTGTCCCTGGAGAATCATAGGCACTTATTCAAAGGCTGTTCAGTTATAAGTGGTACAAGGTACGCCAGTGGAAAATGCATTAGAATAGAAACCTTGCCTGGCAAGGGGTGTTTGTGAAAAAGACTTACTGGTCTCTCTACTTCCTGGGATAATTATTTCAGTAACAGTAAAAGGGTAATGGAGTTGATATAAGTAACACTTATTCTTGCTGTTGAAAAGCTGCTGACCTTAAGGCACAGCTCTGGAATACACTCAAGCTTTGTAGTATAATCTTTGAGCATTAGAAGCATGGGGCAGAGGAATAAACCTCTAGTTTCTTGTGCTGTTGCTTGTGTTGGTTTCCTTTTACCTCACACTTCTGTGGCATCTTTCATACTTGAGTCTCTAAAGCTTCAGGTGTGGTTGGTGTTTGCTTCCTAACTGTCCCTTACTAGGGTATTTTTAGGCAAGCTGTGGGACAGTGATCCAGAACAGGCAAGCAGGAATCGGGATTTCTGGATTGTCTTCTCAGCTCTTCCACCAACTGCATGATTTTAGTTGAGTCGTTTAGTATCTGTTTTGTTTTGCAATGTGATCATCTTTACACTAATTTTTTTTTCTATTGTAGATTTTCCAGCAAGTGGATTTCAACAAGAAGCCAGGACGTATGAGTGCTAAGCCTATAAACTTTGCAGTGATCTTGAAGCTTTCCAGTGCCAACCTGCAGGAGAAGGCCTTCCGAGTAAGTGGAACCCCAGCAACCAGCAGTGCACAACTCCTCTGTAAACAAGAGTTGTGCTGGAAGTAGGCTTTGTGTTCCTGTCCTGTAAAGCTGGAGACTCATTTCCTAGTCTGGGCGCTGTAGGGTTTAGTTCCTATCTGACATCTCTGTTCTGCTTCTCTGCTCAGGACGGACTCATCGAACAGCTCTATGACCTGATGCTTGAGTACCTCCATTGCCAGGCCTGCAGCATTGGCTTTCCAGAGTTGGTTCTCCCCACTGTCATTCAGGTAAGGTGTGAGACACTTCACAAATGTGCACAGAGCTGGATAAAGTTGTTTAAGCTAACAGTGGACTTAAGATGGTCCTCACAGTGTGAGGGGAGAGCCATTTACCTCTTCTTAATTACAGTTTTTCTTTGTGTTTTGGGAAGTTCTTGGGGAGGAACAGATGCATCGCATCTAATGAGCCATCAGTGTGCCCAGGTGGCCGAGGAGGCCAATGGTATCCTGGCTGTATCAGCACTAGTGTGGCCAGCAGGGACAGGGAAGGGATCTGAGCCCTGTGCTCGGCACTGCTGAGGCTGTCCCTTGCTGAGTGGGTTCAGTTTTGGGCCCCTCACCCCAAAAAGGCCATTGAATGACTCAAGCGTGGCCAGAGAAGGGCAACAGAGCTGGGGCACGGTCTGGAGCACAGGTCTGCTGGGGAGCGGCTGGGGGAACTGGGGGGGTTCAGTCTGGAGAAGAGGAGGCTGAGGGGAGACCTCCTGGCCCTCGGCAACTCCCTGCCAGGAGGGTGCAGAGAGGGGGGATGAGTCTCTGGAGCCAAGGAGCCAGCGCCAGGCCCTGAGGGAATGGCCTCAAGCTGCCCAGGGCAGGGTCAGGCTGGCTCTGAGGAAGGATTTCTGTGCAGAAGGGGCTGTTGGGCATTGGAATGGGCTGCCCAGGGCAGGGGGGAGTCCCCGGGATCCCTGGAGGGGTTGAAGAGTCGGGTTGAGCCAGCGCTGAGGGATCTGGTGGAGTTGGGAACGGTCAGGGTGAGGTTCAGGGTTGGACTGGAGGAGCTTCAGGGGCTTTTCTGACCAAGATGATTCTGTGATTCTGTAATTAGGAGGCTGAAGGCAGGTTGAAGTGGCTGAATGTGGATGAGTTCTTGGTGATTCTGAGTTGCTGTATTGTCTCAGAGCAGTACCTGTGCTCCATGAGCCCATGATTTTCCTTGCCTTGCGGCCTCCCTCACGTGCTCTCCACAAGATGGCAATCTTCCCTCCCTTCACACTGTCTCCATCAGCTGGGGCACTTTCTCCCCAAGTCTCTGCATAAACAGTACAGTCCTCCTCTCCAGCCCCCCTCCTTGCTGCACCTGACAGCAGTGCTGCAGAGTTGTCTCCTTTGCCTCCCGCGTATTCCATGGCGCAGGGTGTTCTTCCCAGCCGCTTCATGTTTACATACTTCATTGTCCAGAAAAAAAACTGCCTAACAAACAGTGCTCTGCATCTGGCTGTATTGTGTATAATCCTTCCCTAATACCTTGCTAGCTGGGCAGCTTGGGTTTTGAACGAGCAGCAATCTCTGTTTTGAACAGTAAGATTGCTCAGTGCAGACGTGTTGGAACTTGTTGCCTCCCTTCCTCTGAATCCTCTCTATTTTTAACCCAGGAGTGGCAGGTGTCGTACAATCTTGGCAGAGGGCTGCTGTCGTATCCTCCGTGGGGACAGGAACCTTTGCTTTGCTTTGGTGCCTGCTGTGAGACCCCGTGTCTGCATACCTTGCTGCCACGGCAGCTCCGGTTTTGACATGGGAGCCGTGTCTCTGTTGGGACCACATCTTGTTTCTGCTGTACGTAACAGGCTGGCATCTGTCAGGCGCATGACTCTTGGCTGGGTCGCTGCAGCCTGGCACAGGCCATTGCCTGGCTGGCAGTGGGCTGCTTTGGCTAATGTGAGCTGACAGGCACTCTCTATGCTAGGAGAGCAGCTCCTGTGCTTGCTCTCGCCTTGCGTGCTTCTCACTTATCGGCAGTGAACAAAGCCCTTTCCTCTCAGCCAGCAGCTGTTGAGAGCATCGAAGCTGTCGGAGCCGATGTTCTAGCTGGAATGAAAAACGGCTGACGGCCCTCTGGCACCGAGCACCCTGTGGCTTCCAAACACACCCTGGGACCAGCCTGTATTTCTGCAGAGAATTAATGCTATCGGATTCCTATTTGGCTGCCACTAACCGCAGCCTCGTGGCGTCTGCTGGGCTGGGGTGCTGAGGTTAGCTTCCCAAAAATCTCAGAGTCTTCGGGAAAGTGTAGGGGGGAGGCTTTTCTCCTGGAATGGTTCCAGTTAACTGTAAAAATCCATCTGTCCTGATTCTTCCTCCCCAATGAGCTCACGCTTCTCTCAGTGCCGTGTCGTAGGGGCTGTGTTCCAGCTGGCGAGGGTTGTGTTCCTCATCTTCTGGTCAGCGGCTTTGGGAGAAGCTAGGCTGAACTGCCTTCAGACTGAACTTTCAAACCTCCTTGCCTGGAAGGCAGGAAGCACCCCGGCAGATCAAAGGAGAGGAGAGCCAGTAGGGATGGGAGACAGTTCAAAGGCGTCTGTGCTGCCCAGCCACCGGGACGACCCCCCAGCGGTCACTGCCTCTGGAGGCTGGTAAGGAGCTCAGAGTGCAGAGCCTCTGGGTCCGGGTGCGTGGAGGAGACTGCCTCTCCCCCCCTCCAGAGCCCTGACAGGCGTCACAGGGCAGAGAGGGGATGTTAAAGGGAAAAACTAGACAGGCGTCGATAAGGGGTAGGTACTGCTGGGTGGAGGCAGGAGATGGCGTGGTCTAGGCATGACTTGTCGCTAGACAGAAGGGCGGGAGGTGCTGCTTTGCCTTGCCAGCAGCCACTCCTGCTGCTGCTTGCTCTGTCCTGAGTTGAATATTCCCTCTGCTTTTTGTAAATAGCGGATTGGGCTTGATTTGTGTTCCCTGCAACGCACATGCCCAGCTGCTCATTTCTAGTTCCCTGCGTCGTTTACAGTAAGAGGAGCTGGGCTTTTGCTGTGGTCTCTGCTGGTATAAACCATTGGTGTTTAAGGCTGGCACTTCGACAGAATCAATCCCACTAATCACATAGCTGCTTAGCTAGGAACTGATGTGAGATGTTAATCACACACACACACGCGCGCCTATGTTCTGATTGCTTTTATTCTGGAGAGATATGGTTGTTGTATTTGGCAGAGCGGAGAAAGACGTACGCAGAGTCCCTTTATCTCTTCTATCTTCTTTTACCTTCTTGGTTGTGTTCCCTGCCTCTTAACACAGGACTGAGATCTCATTACATTTCGTTAATATCTGTGGCAGATAGTGGTGGGACTGTGAGGGATTGCAGGGGTAGGAGAGAGGAGGGGGAAGAAGAAACGGAGGCTGTGAGAGCAAACACACAACACCAAACTGCACAGATAGAGCCTGAGATTTTGCAGGATTTCTGGTGACACTTCTGCAGCGAAAGAAAAATGATAATGTATGTGGCAGCGGATGAAATGGATCTGGGGCTGCAGCTGTGGGGATCAAGTGAGATAAATCGAATGACAAATGCATCTCTCAGTGGAGATAAATATTCAGCACCTATAAAAAATAAATATTTTTGGGGGGGGGTGGTCTGAGGGTAGGACAGGCTTCACCAGCAGAAGAATAGTTTTGCTGATGGCTTCTTTGTACTTGTTTGATGGGCTGTACGTTTTGTGAAAAGGGGGAAGGTGTTAATTTTAACTCCCATTTTTCTGAATTGGATGTATGATGGCAGGTGGGCGTATGCTGGGGATAAAGGGAGAAGAGAAGCCCCTGCTGCTAGGCAGTGGGGTACTGTGTGTGGCAGCCAGCAGATCCTGCAGCAGTATACCCATCAGGAGAGCAGTGTCCTGACAGAGAAGGGGCTGGGTGTGACTGTCACCTCTTGATTAAAACCTACCCGCTTGGCATGTAAGATCAAGCCAACGTGTAGGCTTGACAGGAGGGAGAGACATCTTCCTTCCCCCAGCTCCATCTTTTGAGGCAGAACATTTGAAGCCATAAGTAGAGAAGGCAGTACTGCATTTGCTGACTAGAAACCCTTTGTCTCTATCATGATAGCATCTGCAGGTCCCAGCTGAGATGAAGGTTCTATTGTGGTTAACCATTTTCTTTTGCCTTGTTGGATCTCTTTCTCTAAATCAAGTGTCGGTGAGGTGTCTGTGTGTGCATATATATGGGTCTAGCAAAGAGCTTGGCCTACAGAATTTGGACAGCACTCCAGAGGCTTGCCTTGGAGTTGGTGAAAGCTGTTAGCAGACAACGTAGTAAACTGGAATTCAAGCCGTGAGTCAGTCTGGACACCTCCATCTCTCTGTCATCAAGAGCATCCACTGCTGCCTCAGCTTTTAGTTTGGAGGTGTCAGAACAGTGCAGTGGTGTGGGAGGGTGGTTTGTATTGGGAGGGGAAATGTTTGGTAGGGAGAAAAGTTTGCTTGAGGACAAGGCTACTGAGATAAAAAAGAGCAACGCAAGATGTGCTGTTTGCAATGAAGTCTCATTGTTTGACACGAGTGAAGTGCGCTCTGGGTATGGAGAGAGGGCAGGAGCGGATTCTCTGCAAGTAGGATGGTCCTTGCCCTTTCAGGCAGCGTAAGGGTTTGTGGTTTCCTGGCAGACTGGCTCTTGTTCTGAGGGTTACACATAAGGCCTTGGGTCTAAAATAAAGAACTGTTTAGGCACATGCTGCACAAGTTGTCCACAGAGAGGGTTATTTTGTGAATTTTTGAGTGGTGAGCGTGTGGGTTTGTGCCCTTGAAAAATCAGTGGTGCCAGATGGAGTTGGGTTGGTGCAGTCAGACATTAAATAAACTTCACCCCGTGTGACTGCAGATGGCCATCTGTCCTGACCCACAGCTCTGCTGCTCCAGCAACACCAAGTTTCCCCACGGAGCTATGCCAGAGACCCTTACTCCCAGTCCACAGACACTTCTGCCCCAATTTTAAGTCTCCTCTCAAACTCTGCCTTCGCTCCCAGCAATCAGTCTCATCCACAGACTCTTGTATTTAGTATTCCCATTCCAATATTGACTGGTGTTCTATGGTCTTAACCTACAGAAAACCTTTCCCTGTTCTAATCCTGGCTTCCCTGTGCTTTTGGCCATCTAACATCCACAGGCATCCTCTGTTACTCCTGGTCTCTGTGCATCTGGTCTACAGTCCCTCTGGCTGCTTGGCGGAGCAGGACTGATACTGTAACTGCAACAGCAGCTAGGAGGCCCCCAGAGAGCAGAGACTTTTTTTTCCTGTTGACTCCTTGAACTCCATTGATAATTTTTTTTTTTTTTCAGAAAGTAGTGTTAAAGGGTGCAAAGAGCTGTTTTTGAGCAGGGTCCCTGTGCTGGATTGCATACAAATCTGGCCCATCATTGCAACTCTTTGCATCCTCCCAGCCCGGGGTGGCAGGACCCCCAGGGCTGATCAGGGGTGATGCATTGAAGTAGGGTATGAACTGAAGGGAAGAGGCGCCCCATGCTGTCTGTCACTGGGGGTGGGAAATGTTTCTTTGCTGATGGGATCTGTTTATGGAAACTATTACATTGCTTTCATTCTTCCTCTCCTTTTCCTCCTCCCAGCTAAAATCTTTCCTGAAGGAATGCAAGATTGCCAACTACTGCAAGCCTATCCGGCAGCTTCTGGAGAAACTGCAGGAAAATTCTGCCTACATCGCCAGCAGGCGTCAGAAAGCTGCCTTCGGCGTGGCCAGCAGGGAGTCTGTGGTGAGTCTGCTGCTTCGATTTGGGCTTCCTGGAAAGACAGTCAGGCTCCGGCTGCTGGGGTTGAGCGGGTGGCAGAGGGAGGAGGGACGACGAGATCATGGAAACAGGAGCATGTGGGGTGGGGCAGATGTTCACAAACAACTGAACTCGGCAGGGCTCTGATGCTATAGCTGGCAAGACTCTGCAGCCAAGAGCCTCATGGAAAACACAATCCATAAATTATACCCTTCTATTATTTATAACACACACATATGCATGGAAGCATCATGCTTTGCTGTGGCATCTCCTTTGCAGAGAACTGGGGGGGTTTAGTCTGGAGAAGAGGAGGCTGAGGGGAGACCTCCTGGCCCTCTGCAATTCCCTGACAGGAGGATGCAGAGAGGGGGCATGAGTCTCTTGAGCCAAGGACCCAGTGCTGGGCCAAGAGGGAATGGCCTCAAGCTGTGCCAGGGCAGGGTCAGGCTGGCTCTGAGGAAGGATTTCTGTGCAGAAGGGGCTGTTAGGCCTGGAGGGGTTGAAGAGTCGGGCTGACCCAGCGCTGAAGGATCTGGTGCAGTTGGGGATGGTCAGGGTGAGGTTCATGGTTGCACTGGAGGAGCTTCAAGGGCTTTTCTAACTGAGATGAATCTGTGAGGAGTTTCTTAGTTTTCGTCATCACGTACCTGATACGTAGGTGTCAGTTTATTCCTAAAGTGATAGGGGGGATTCTGCCACCTCTGTAAGCATGTTGTTTCCTCCTGGTTGGTAGAGACCAGTCCCTGCAGTGTAGAACCAAGGCATCAGCAGACTGATACATGGCAGTTTAGGATCCTGAGGCAGACCTTTCAGTTTTCCTGTGCCCTTGTGGAGACAGTGCTATAGAATCAGGAAGGATACGAGCCATGAGAACAGTGATGAGGCATCCTGGGCACTGCAGTTGCTCCTCAAGAGAGGTGCTGGTGTATTCTTTCTGCAGCCTAAGCATGCAGCCTGCTGAGAAAATGCTGAGCGCATTTGACACCTGGAAGAGTTGCAGTGGCTCTTAGCACCTGTGGAGGGGTTGAATTAAATGTCAGGATTCTGCCTTAGTGATGAGATGAACAGGAGTGACTAAGGTGGTGATGGAGACCTCCCTGTTCATTTCCTCATAGGAAATGAACCGTAGCACAGCTAGAAAACAGTCTATTAGAGGGTGTGTTAGCTAATAGTTGGCCATCTGGCTAACAGAGATGCTACCTTTCTCCTTGTTTCCCTGCTCCAGGAGCCTGCCTGCTCTGAGCCAGGTTCTTCAGGAGATGATGTAGCATAAAGTCAGGACATTCCTTTCAGTGTCCTTGCTTGAAGCTCTGTTTTTCCTTTTGCTTTGTTCTATCCTTCTTTGGGGGCATGTTGACCTGACCTAAACTTTGAGATATTTGAAATCCAGTCCCTGTGTAAATGAAGCTGAAGGGAGGGAGGCCTTGTTAATGAAGCTTACTTTGTGTGTCCTTTGGGTTGGACATTTATCTTTGCTTTTTATCCAGTGCAGCAGCCTTTGCAAGCCCATTAGCAGGTGAACTGTGTGTGGGCATGTCGCTCTGTGTGAAAGGGAGTAGCGGGTTGGAGTCTTCCTTGCCTGGCAGGAGAGAGGTGAAAATACATGTCTGCAAGGTAACTGATGGGTCAGAGTGGTCTCTGGCCACATGGCACCACTGGGAAGTCTGGAGTTCTGCATTGAGAGCTCTACCTGTTGGCATGGAGCTGAGCACGAAGCAGAAGTTGCAGTGCAGGGACTGCAGGAAAATTAGCCTTTGAAATCCTGACATACCAATGCCAGCAGCAGCGCTATTCCGGGATTAAAGGGTTGATGGAACTGGGTTTGAAATGACTTAAGTAGTCTTTGGTTCTGTAAATGCCATTCTGGGTTGGACTGTTTTGCTAAAGGAATTATGCTTGCTGTCTGGAGTGAAGTGGTTAGGGTTTTGTTTTGTATTTTTTGTGGGCGATGCTGTGACCACCCACCCACTCTGCGGAGGTAGAGGTTTCAGCCTCTAGGGCCCTCCATGAAACAGATGAGCTTGGGATGGTTGTTAGCTAAATAAAACAGGGTTCCCAACAACTCTGCCACTGTCTGCTTTTCCCAGCAACTCTGGCTGCAGTCCCTTGTGTAAGAACCAAATGATTATTTTAACATCTTGCTGCCTGTGTGTCTCCTAGTTGATACTGGTGCACCTGCTTTCCCAGGGACATCTGAGTGGTGGCTGGGTAGCGCGAAGCAGGCAGGGTTGGCACTAGGGGGGCAGCAACCGGCAGCCTGCCTTGGGTAAGGGAGGCAGGCACCAGCTTGCCAAGCCCTGTCTGAAGACAGTGCTGCCATTTAAGGGTATAGAGCAATGGTGTGAAGTGCTGCTTGGGGAGGATGCCTGGATTGCCTGTGCAGTCTGTATTTTTGCACTGTGGTGGTGCCCTGTGGGAGAAGGGAACCTTTCTCTTCCTTCAGTTAGTGGGATATCAGCGCTCCTGGGAGCAGAGAAAACAGCCCACTCAGTACTTCTGTGGAGTGGAAGAACAGTGGTGGCTTATCTTCTGTGCCCAGAGGGCAGGTTTTGTCCCCAGGTGGCCCTGTGTTTTCCCCCTATGCCTTTGCAAGAAGATAGTGGAGATTCCCAAGAAGGGCTGAAGCTCCCACAGAGACAGGGCTTCCCGGAACGATTTGGAGTGTCCCTCAAAGTCTGGGTTGAGTTTGCCAGGCTGCCTCAAGATATGTGGGGCATTGGCACTTCTCATGAGCAAACACTGCCAGAAAAGGGAAGGGAAGGAGGGACGTGAGGGAAGGGGAGGTATTTGCATGTCCCCCTTGCCAGCAAGAGCAATTGAAAGCAAATGCTCTCTGGTTTTCACATGCATGCATTTGTGTCTGCTCCACTGTAGGGAGCACAGCCCAAATTTTGAGCCAAATTCTTCCATGCAACATGCTGAAATGTGGCTTTCATGGGGGGAATTACAGAGTAGTGGGCATGCTTTAGAAAGGTGAATTTTACCTAAGAGTCTATATTATGTAATTGTAAAGAAACAACAGCCTGGGGATTGAACTTAGTGCTGTGAGGGGAGCATGGTGGTGCAATGTTTAACTTTACATGGAGGGACTGTGGAGGGATCCCTCCTCGCATCCCAGGAGCTGTGGTACGGAGGGAGAGGCACTCCAGATGTGCTCAGCCTGACTTCTTCCATGTTATTTTAAAATTGAAAACTTTTTTTTGGCGTAAGAAACAGGTCAATATTAGAGAGTCAGTACTTTTTTGAGAGTACAATGCTAATAGGTTACTATACTAATTAAGGTCTTTGTGAGGGGAGCCGAAAAAAGGGGAGCCTGCAGATGAAGTTGGATCCAGTTGAATGTGTAGCTCTGATTTTAGGTTCGTCTGCACTAGTGTGGGCACTGGCTTGGCAGGGGAAAAATGCAGGGAAGGAAAAGGACCTGCAGTGTGTGCTGGGCCGTGTTACAGCTCTGTGGCCCGCAGGCAGACCTTTGCGCTGAGCCCAGGAACCTTTGTTTAAGAACAGTGCAGCCCAGCGGGCTGTCATGCTTAGTGAAATGTGAAGTGAGGGAATGAGCTGATGGAAAGCCTTGCCTCATTTCCATGGGTTTTCCAGATCTTCTGCCTTCATCCCCATCTCGCATTTCAGCTGGGAGGTGTTTCTGGAGGGTGAGTGATGATCTTTGTTAGGTTTGTACAGGTGCTAGCACTGTGGGCTTGATCTGTGCTGGGTGTTGCCTGACAGCACAGTGATGCAAAAGCACTTCTGGAAGTACTGCAGACGGTTAAAGCGGGTGTGATGACATCCACTGTCTCAAAATTCCCATTGAGGTGTTCTGACTAGAAAGATGGGAGCGTTTTAATGGTCTTTTTTTATCTCTGGATTCCAGCACGCTTTAAAACCAAAGGAGCTGTATCAGAACAAATAGACTTTTGCCCTCTGTAAGAAAAGTCTTTCTCAGAAGCTGTCCATACCAAGCAGCATCAACAAATTGCCTGATTACAGCCGGCAGCCTGATACGAGCCTGATCTATAAATGGGGTGACTTTGTACTCCTCGGGAATGACTCCTCTTGCCGTGGCGGCGGCTCGGATCGGCGGTAAGGCCGAGCTGTCTGCTGGCTGGCGTCTCTGCCAGCCGGGTGAGCTGTGCTGCAGTCAGCCTGCCCGGGAGCAGAGCGCGGGGTGGGCGCAGGCTCCGGCCGCCCAGCCCTGGAGCCGTGCTGCCCACAGTCCCGGGGGGGTGTGGGTGTGTGAGTCTGGGACCTGTCATTACCAGAAAGGGCCTGTTTGGCTTGATGCAGTATTGACAGTGCCTGTTGTAGGATGCATAAATAGATTCCGTGCCATTAGAGCGCAGGTGACACAAGCTGGTCGCTGTTTAATTGCCAAAGCTCAGCTCCTGGAGACCACAGATCATCTCCGCTCCCCTCCCAGCGGCAGGCCAAATCAAGAGCTGGCGTACGCTGATGTATCTCAGTATATAGAATACTTTGCTTATTTGTGTAAGCTGGGAGCTCTGCGCTGCTATCCATCGTTCCTTCTGTCTTGCTCATACGCAGCTCTTTGAACAAACTTCTTCCCACGCCTTGGCTCACAGGCTATAGCCGACACCACAGCTCCCTCGTTTTGGGGCTCAGCTCCCCAGAGCAGTTGATCTGAGATCTGCTGAAGAATAGCTGAGCTGCTGCTGTGTTTTCTGCTGTGAGGATGGTCTGGCCTCTTGTGTATTGTGTACACACAGCTGGCCATGCAGAGCTCTAGATTTGTTCTCAGCCCTGGATTCAGGATGCTCTTCTTGGATCTGTGTTGACCTTTGAGTGTATCTGTGCTAACCATTGTTCCTGTTGCTTGTTCCCTTCCTCCTTTGCCCGTTTCAATTCCTACTTGTTTGTGATGTCTTTCTGCTTACATTAGATTGACTTTTTATTGTGGGGTGATGCAAAGCCTCTGGGCACTGTGGTAATCCAGTTAACAGGTACAGTTCCGTGTGGGCTTTAAGTTAAAGGGATGTTGGCAGGTTAAGAAGAATGAATTTTAATATGATATACCACCACCCCCCTTTTCAGCACTAACACGCCAAATGATTGAAGCATAAAAGAATTTTTAACCATTTAATTTGCTTCCCACAATTTATGGTATTTGCACCTCCTTATTCTCCCTGCTTGGACAGTGGAAACGGGCTCGGCACTTCTTCCTGCTCTGCTCTCTCAAGGTTGGGATGAGTCCAAGACCCTGCAGGGGAATGTTTGTTTCAAAAATAAACACTTGGCTGTAGAACAAGGGGAACGGGCAGTCAGATGTCTTTGGTACGTAGGTCTTGTGTGAGGTTTTTCTGAATTAAAAAGCAAGCAGTGAGCAGGTGATCAAATGCCTCCATCAATGCCCAGGACAGATTTTGTCCTGATAGGTCCTCTGATCTGTCCCTTGGATTCCTACCTTCAGGTTTCAGTTGAAGTAATTTCTTTTTCGTTACAGTAGGCTGCATCATCTGACTTGATTTCTGTGTCAGTGTCTTCTCACTAGAGCTAGAGTAGAAGTGAATGTTCAAGGCCAAGATAGTAACAGTGGATCCCAGAAGGGATTGAGCTGATTTTAGGAGAGCCTGCTGTGAGTTCTCAGCAATTCTGAAAATTAGGCCTCTTCTAGAAGGGCGAAATAGGAATCCAGGAACCCACATTTCAGGCCACTGTGCTGAGAAAATGTGGTGATATTCCATAAGCTAAAGCATCTTATGCACCACCATATAGATGCTCCTTTATGAGGGCTTTATGCTGTCCTTCAGTGCTGTTGGTACCCTGTGCTTCAGTATTGCATAAGTAAGCTGTTGTATTGGCCAACCTATCCATTTAATCTTTTGGCTTGCTTTGATTTCCCTGCAGTGCCCAGGCATTGCCTTGCCTCAGGAGGGTGGTCAGTCACACCACTCCTGACTCAGTAGTTGCTTAAATACCTGAATTCACACCTGGTCCTACTTGCTTTCTTAGTTGTGGTTACCAATTTCTTACCCAGAAGCTGGGAGAAGGTGGTTTGGGAAGGGGTCTTAACCTTTTCTCTTGGCTTCCTGTGTTTGCCAAAGTTGCATTGGAAGAATGCTTTGAAAACCTTTCTTAAATTTGCACCCACTCTCTCCACAGGAACAATGGGAGAAGCAGGTCAAAGAGGAGGGGACACCTCTGACCAAGTATTATACTCAGTGGAAGAAGCTAAGAGAGAAGGAGATACAACTGGAAATCAGCGGCAAAGAAAGAGTAAGAATGAAATGTTTAACATCATCTGTGCCAGGGGAAGCCAAGGGAGCCACGTCCTGGCAGCAGGATGGTGCCTGGTCAAAACCAGCTCTGCTGGTGTGAGCTGAAATTGGCTCGAGCTGCGTGAGTGTGTAGGCTGCGTGTTCTTGGAAGGAGCATGAGTGCTGGTTGGATGGCAGCCCCTGCCTTCAGCTCCCTGTGGATTTGTCTTGCTGGGATCTCGAGGAGCAACATCTGTGTCCCCTGCCTTCAGCCTGCCCGTTTGCCCAAGCTGATAGAGGATTGGTGAGAGAGGGTGAAGTAGCTGGAATGAATTTCCTCCATCCCTGTTTAGGCTCGTGCTGTTCAGGACCCATTGGTACAGCAGCTTTGTGATGCAAGGCTGGGAAGCTGCAGACGGTAGTGAGAGAGCAACTGTGTGCACTGGCAGGGGTAGTTTGGGTAACAGATTTGATTTGTCTGAGCAACTGGGGCAGTAGCCTGATTGTGGATGGAATTTTTGGAACAAGCATATGACGTAGTTTGGAAGTTTAGACTGTACGCACAGTTCCTGCTCTGTGTGTTCATCCCCACATTCATGGGCCTTCTCATATTACTTCAGGCAGTCTGCATCGTTTCTTGCAAACTCTGTTTTCTTCATAGTAAAACAGAGGGAGTTGAGCTTGTGTAGGCCTTTAGCTCTTTTTCCAGCTCTGCAGAACGTGACTGGGTTGCCATGTTCAAACCTAATTTTGCAAGCACGCGGGAAGGGGAAGATCCTCTCAGCAAAGGGAGTATCAGAGATGAGCTCTGGTTTGCATTTTCTGATTACAGGTGTGGGGGGGTGACTGGTTCTGAGGTGGGACTTGCTGTCTGAACAGAAGTGCTCAGACTGCCATTTCCCACAACTCCTGCCCAAGGGAAGGCTCTCTGGCCACTCCTGGTGGCACTGCACTCCGGGACGCAGAAGGTGGGGGTGGGAGCTTGCTTGCATTAGGAGGCTAAAGGAAAGCTGTTGTCTCGTGCTAATGCAATGAAAGTGGCTGAGCTAGGCTCTTGGCCAGGGAACAGGAAATAGATATAATTGGTGTCTCCAGCATATGGTGGGGAACAATTAAAATAATCGATGGGATGTGAGGATGATTGGCTCTGAGACGAGTCCCAGAGCGTGGTAGAAGACCTGGGAGATCCTAGAAATGCTCAGTATCATATGCCAGCCTGAGATAAGAACAGGAGGCTGAAATTCCCTGGGGCAGCCATGCAGAGGGAACAAAAAGCATGCTTGTTTTCTGTGCAAACCCAGCAGGAGAATGTGGCCTTTGCAGAAAGGAAATTAGAGGGTGGGAGCTAAGAAACAGTGAGAAGTGATGGCTGTGAGTGGGGCTAATCTCTTGCCCAAAACTGGCCTTGCTGGGTGTGAGCTGAGGCTTTCCTGGTACCGAAGCAGCTGTTATAAGGGGAGAGATCAGCCCTTAGTGTAGACAAGCCCCCAGCTCATGGTAAAGAGAGGAGGGGACCTGGAGCTCCTTGGGGGTGGGCAGGATGAGCTGAGGTAGAGAGCAACCCTTGAGGGGGGATGGCTTTCATATAGAAAGGCTGAAACCAAGGGAAGTCTGATGGGCAGTGACAGAGACTTGTTTTCCCTTGGAGAAAGTGGGCTGAACAGATAAAGTGTGGAGAGAGATGGACTTGGGAGTTCGCTTTCCGCACGGCCTGTGGCTGCCTGGCATCTTTGCTTGGTGAATGGGGCTGTTGTCTCTCTCGGTGGGGACTGCTAGCTTAATGATGCAGCATTGTGAGCCCCAGCAGGAGAGTGAACACCATGAGGCCCATTAAGGCTGGGAAAATCCACGTCCCATTAGCAGCCATTGGGGGGAAAAAATAATAACAGAAAAAAAAAATCAGCCTGGCTCTCAGCTGCTATGAGCTGCAGCTTGCCTTATATAACAACGCTGATCCCGTCTGCCCATTCCATTTGCTTTTCCCAATGGTTTTTAATGGGATGTAGACTAATCGGCTTCGTGAGACTCGGTAGATAGTAACCCTCTAGCTGGGGATTAAAAGACTGGCCCCCAAATTACCTAATTACTGCTGTGTGATGAACACAGGCTGTATCTGTGAGCTGTGGCTCAGTACAAGTCTCATTCCTTTGCTTTGTGATCACTCCACAGCTAGTAGGGTTTTTTGGTGCCTTTATTTTGAGGTGCCCATCTTGAAGGTGCTTCTGTGGAGTCTCAGAAAGTTGGGCATAGCACAACTCGGCATGATTCAACAGCGGCTCCTTTTTAATACGCTCAGGTTGAAGTCAACCACTACTGATGTCACCCAAAACTGTAGGCTGCCTTGGGAAATGGGGGCTTTTTCTAGGCAGTATGAAAACACAAAGAGGTCCCAACTAACAGCCTCTGCTCCTTGCTGTACGTGCCCTGAACAGGATACTGGAGAAGCTTTTCACAATATTGAGATAAGTATTTCTCTTTTGCTCCCTTGAATTGGAGAAGTTTGGAGAATTGGAGGAGGCTGTTCCACATCATCTACACGAGACATTTTACTTGTACACATCTCCATTTCCACTTTGAATCTAGTATGTGATGTGTTCCATGGAAATGCCTCATGCTCAGGATGCTTAAGGAGGAAGAATAAGACCTTGGATGATTTTTCCAGTTCATTTACTGCTGCAGAGGGTTAACAGTGACGGGGATCATGGAGAACAGGGCTAGCCAACAGGGACTTGGGCAGCTGATGCAGCAGTTGTTTGTTGTCAAAGCTGGGTTTCTGCTTCTGTTTGTGATGCTTTCAACCTCAACTATTTCCTGCTTAGGCAGTGCTGGTCTCCTGTTTAACTGCTGCTGTTACTGAAGGGGGCCAGCAACCAGTGCTGCCAGACAGGGGCTCTGCAGGTCGCATGGCTCCTGGCACAGAAGAGGGCCCAAAGGTGCTGCCTGTGACTGGGAGACTTCCAGAGTGGGCTCAGCCGTACTGGTGACGCGCCCCAGTTCCCAGTACCTGTCAGAGTAGCCATCTCTGGGATGTGAGAGGCCTTGGCCCAAAGGGGGTTACTGAGGGAGGACATGGTGGTCCAGGCCTTGGGCTGCAGGAGGTGGTGGTGCTGGGGTGATGGCAGCCTGGCCTGGCTGGGGCACTTGCAGAGGCAAGGAACGTATAAACCGAAAGGGATCGGGTACAGGGACTGTGTCTGGTCACAGCCCAACGCTGGGTTAGAAGCATAGCTGCTGATATATTTTAGCTTCTGAGACCTTTGTGTTTCATTTCTGGAGCCTCTCATTGAATAAGTGTTTCTGGAGCATCTCCCTCTGCCCTCCCACCCTCCATAAAGTTGTGTGCCAGCACAAATGAGAGGAGCGAAGCATGAGCCTTTCTTGTCCACCAGAACTGGTGGAGAGGATAAGGAAAATATTTTCACTCTAACAGCTCCCCTGCCCCACGATGGAGCTTGCTGGAGCATAACCACCCAAGAAAGGAGGGTGGTTACAGTATGTCATTGGGTCAGCTGAGGGCAGCCCTTTGGCAGTGACTTTGGGTTGCTGCTCTTGCTGCATTTTGCTTCCCAAGTCTCTTCTCTGGCACGCAATGACTGCTGTTTAGAGATCCAGTCCTGTGCTGCTTTCTTCGGACATCTTCCCAGCACAGAGACAGCCCAGCAGGTCTCTGCAGGGCCAGTGGAAGGAGACACATCTCATAGTGGAACAGAGCAGGTGGGAAGATGATTTAAAATGAGGACCCTGCAAATGGTGATTGGTGATTTGCTCCCTTCTCTGGCCAGCTCCTGACTTTCCATCCTGGTGCTGCAGGTTATTGCTTGTAAGTGCTCAGCTCCCAGAATCAATATTGCCCAGCTGGGGACCATAACTGTGAAACAGGCTGGGAGAAATTGCTGGAATTGGCTGCAGGAGCAAATATGTGTCTCTGTCTCACTGTCTCTCCCCTCCATCCCTACTCTGAGAGCTGCCTTTCTATGTAGACTGTGCTTTGCTGCTGTTCCCGCTGGGGGAAGCTCATGGGAGGGTTGAAGTGGATGCGGTCAGAGAGGAGTGTGTTGAGGGGTGGTCTGACGGGTGGGAGAGAGCAAATGAGTTATTACTCGCAGGGCGAATGTTTCCAAGCAAGCTAATGTGTGCTAATGCATGAGTGCTTCCCAGGAGGTGTGCAGCCAGGCACGGACAGCGGGCAGCTGATGTTCAGAGAGCACTTGGGATTTAATTTGCATTCTGATTATCTTTGCCCTGCTGGCCTGAGCCCTTGCAAGTAAATCCTCCCCCTAATCCCCCTCCGGAGAGGTGTAAAGAGCAGTGAGGTGGTGTCAATTGCCAAGTACTTAATGGCATTGATATTGGCTGGCTGCAGCAGCAAGGCTCTTGGCCCATTGATCTCTATAAGGGCTAGTGACTGGGGAAGCCATGGTACAGGCAGACCTGAAGCATCTTCAGCACCTTGTCATTTAGCTCTGCTGAAATCTGCAGCCAAAAAGACAAGTGTCTTTACTACAGCTTTTGGTGTGGGTGGAAAACTTCTACTTCCGAGATGACCAGCACGGTCTGGCTTGATGGTGCTTGGCTGCCCAAGCTCACAGGGCCTGCGTGGCTTTCAGTCCAGCCTGCTTGTCAAGGATGTCTTGTGTTTTTATCCATGCTAAGGTACCAGCAGTAGATGGCCCATTAGCAAAAGTAGTTTATTAGAGAAAGATCAATAGAGCAGTGGTGCTTTGCATGTATCATTCACCTTTGTAACCGACTCACAAATCTTATCTGTCGCTCCCCTAGTTGGCAGCAGGCAGACCCAACTGTTCTTGGCAGTGTGGCTTACACATACTGGGCAAAGCCAAGTTCCTGTGTTTAAGCTCAGCGTTTTAAGTTTAAAAGTACAAATTAAGGCTGTTCTTACTGTTGGTTTTGTTTTTTCCCAGCTTGAAGACTTGAACTTCCCCGAAATTAAGCGTAAGAAGCAAGAGGAAAGAAAGGAGGAAGATAAGAAGGAATTCAAGGACCTCTTTGAGCTGGACAGTGACTCTGATGAGGAGAATGTTGGATTCCCCATAAAAGGTACGGGGTTGGGGCTTGGGCATGCCTTCTTGTCCAGAATTCCATATGAATTGGGTCAGCACAGCCCTGTCCTAAGGGGGATGCATGCTGACCATGTTCTGTTCAAAAAGGTGTACAGAATGATGATGCCTTTTGGAGGTTTTTTAAAATGACAGACAGAAGGTGGTTGGGAGGCTTTTTATCTTTCTCCTCTTCTCCTACTTTGTCAATCCAGCTCATTTTAAAGCCTTAGTCCTGCATTAGTCTTTTTCTGTACGTGACCCATACTCTCTCCTTCCCTTGGCACCTTTGTTTTGTCAGACACTGATCTCAACATGATAGCCCAAGGACCAGGGGATGTTTGGCTGAACACAGACCCTGCTTTCAGAGGCTTCAAAGCAGCAGCCATGGTTCATATTGTAATTCCCAAAGAGCAAGTTGTCCTTCTTGTGCTTATAACCTGTGCAAGTTCTGAGCTGAAGTCTCACCTTGGAGAACATAAGTGATTGCTGTCTTCTTGCACCGTGAGTGGAGGTGCAGGAATCCATGTTTTGTTTCCACACCTATAAAAGAGGAATAAGAATGTTGTTCTACCTGACAGCATGCTGGGTCTTTGCTGTATACATGATTGCAAACAATAGCTGTCATAGGGGCTGGCTACCAGAACAAGGCGCTCTGGTGGATGAATGGTTATCCTCTCTTTGCATGCACTTCTGATTTTTTATTTTGTAGTGACTGATGCTGCAAGTATTCTTGACAGGTCAAGAAAGTGTAGAGCCTCTAGAGAAGATGGGGTGATGTCACGCTCTGGCTGTGACCACGAGGGGGCCACAGTTAATTGTGGAACCTGCATGAGAAGTTCACCACATAGTTTGAGGAAAAATTCAGGTGTTCTTTTTGTAATGTGGAATGTTTGGGATATCACAGGTTTTCTAAGTGCATTGTCATTCATAGAGTAGAGCAGCTTGCAGGAATACAGAGTTTTCTTGTTTGGAGATTTAATCTGTGGATAAAGTCCTTGTCTGTTGTGCACATTGTGAGGCGTGAGGATAAATCTTCAGACTTACCACAGGGCATTTGTCTCCCTCAGAGGCATCTGTGGCACAGGAGGAAGAAAATGTTGGAAAACTCCTGTTTGATAGCTTGAGGTTGAAGTCAGTGGATTTTTTAGGTGACCTAGCAAAGAATGGGAGGAGAGCAAAAGGGAGCTCGTGGCCCACCAAGGTACTGAGAGAGCAGTGTGACATCAAAACAATTTGCTGAGATACGTCTCTGAGGTGTGGGGTTGTCCTGGCTGCCAAATGAGTCAGAGCCTTAGAAGAATCCCAGTGGCTTCTGAAAAAGCAGTGATAACTGCAGTTCAGAAGGCAGGTTGCTGGGAGCCAGGGAAACCCAGGCTCTCCTCCTGTGCCTCCCAGGAACTGACTTGATGTACAGTTGGGAGGTTTCTTGGACTGATGGACTTCTGGATGCACATTGGGATGCTGATGAGGCCAGTCTGTGATGATACGGTGGCAGCTGTCTGGCACCTAACGTACACAGCTTCTACCTTATTTCTGGCGCTCGCTGTAAGAGTCTTCTGAATATAAAAGTTTGCAATCTTTTTTTTTTTTTTTGCTTTTACCCCCCTGCCTGTGCATATTCTTGTGACTTCTGTCCATGAGGTCCTTTGGCAGCCTTAAAGGGCTGGTGTATATCGAGAAGAGAGTGCAGACGAGGACTAAGGTCCATGTGATATCAAAGGGCTCTCCCTGCTCTGTTTGTGTGAGTCCCACAGCTGCAGTATCTAGTCTTCAACACCATCAGGAATGGGTCTTGCCTTCCAGCATTCCTGGGTCAGCTGCCTCTCCAGAGCCTTTGTTCTTAGTAGGGTGTTTTCTGGAGGGAGGGAATAGGCCCTGAAGGCAACTTCCATCTCAAGGAGCAACTGTGCACAGCCCCACCATGGATCCCGGGGCGCTGGGTGGAGGCAGCCAGCGCTGGGTCTGTGCTGTAGCGTAGGGTGAAGTCCCCTCCGGGCAGTGGTGTGACTCCACAGTGGGAAAGGGACCGGGAACAGGGAGGCTGGGAAAAGCGCCTGTGTCTTGGGAGATGCATACAATGAGCTCTTGTTCTTACTCTGTGTGGGGTGCAAGATGTTCCCAGCCGTGCTCTGCATTCAGTAACTGTCAGGGCTGGCTGCGGATGGAAGTCAGAGAAACCAGTTCTTCAGTTTGCTGCTGTTCCCTGTCTTTGTGGCCATTGTTCTACCGGGTGGCCAGATGCAAAGGAATTTGGGAGGCCCTGCAGCTGCTGTGACCTACCTGTGTGTTTGCTTCTTTACCTGTCACGTTTGAAGGCATGACAATCTCCTCTCTTCAAATAAGGCAAAACGAGAGTCTGGGATAATGGAAAGACTTTGTTTCATCTTGAATCAGCCTCAAACTACTTCCAAGAGATACACGTTGAGCAGCTGATGGCAGAAATCTAGGCAGGAAGATAAGACTGCCCTGGATGGACATTCTGGGAGAGGAAAAGAAGGAATATATCCAGAAAACAAGAAATATAGCGTGAGAATACCAAGTGATGCTGACCTTCAAAAGTGATAGGGAAAGACCTGATCCTAGACAGGTTGGTGCTGTGACAGTAACACTAAAACAGAGGTGTTGTGGGGATCTGGGAAGCTCATTGGAGCAGATCATATCCCTTCTGACACAGCTCTACTTCTAGGGCAGGAAGAGATGGGGCTGGTGGGCGATGTCCTCCCTGTTCTGGGAATGGAAGCAAGGGCATGGTCTGGGAATGCCAAGGCAATGTGGGAAAGAATAGGAGGCTCGCTGGCAAGGTCAGCCATACCCAGAGACATCCTTGCTCCTCATTAGCAAGGCTCAGCAGCAGCATGCAAACTCTGTTCAGAGTTATTATTGGAAAGAGCTGGTTCCAGAAGCCTGGGGATATGTAGGTCTCTGCAAAGAAGGGGGAGGGAGGGAGGGAGGGACTTCTGGAAAGGGAGGAATTCCCTGCCAGAAAAGTCCTAGCTAGATAGTTGCAGTCTTCAGTTGCATCCTCTTATGCAACTCCATGGGTTAAAATCTGCGGATGGTTGCCCTGGTCTGGAAAACACTCTTCCCCCTGATGATTACTACATAAAAATCTGGATTTCATAACCTGCTGCTGGTGCAGCATCATTGTGGCTTTCAGGTGGAATGTTGGGTATGGAGGTGTAGTGAAAACAGCTCCCATCTCTCCCCAGTCAACAGCATTTGGCTTGTCAGAGTCTTCACTGTGTTGACAGGACGTTCTTGTTCTGATTAGTAGTTGTTTTGGCCTGTCAGGTCCCAGACCAAATTCACAAGAGTGGAAAATTGCCTGCTAAAAGCCAGGAAATCATCAGTTTTCTGTTATTTAGCTGCTGTTCAAAGTCCCCCTCACCTTTTCTTTTGACTTACATTAAGTATTGTATCAGTGAAGTGTTGATTTCAGTTTACACTGTCCCTAATCTCTCTGGGAGAAGGTAGGCCTGGCAAGTGGCTAGAGTTCTTGGGTTAACCACAGCTAGCCAAAACATCTTGCTCATTAACTAACTTCTACTTCAAAGACCTTTGTATTTCTCACAGCAGAGCAGGCTTCTGAAGAGGTCTTTCCAATCCAAGGCAGGGAGTGAATGGAACGTTTTAAACTCAGGGTGTTGGGGAGCTCCCTGTTCACACAGTCTGCCATTACTCATTCCTGGGGGAGCCAAGGGTAGGTGATAAAAATTGTCCCTGCATGTGAGAGGGGGGTAACATGCAGATTCTGTTGTCTTCCAGCAGCACTGGTGCAACTGTGCATGACATTCCCTTCTGTTCCGAGCATCCCCCTCTTGTCCACCCCCACCACTTCCAGCTGTGCTGCAGCAGAGAAAGGAGATTTGCTGCATCCAGCCCCAGGCTCTGCTGCAGGAAATGGCCACCAGCAGTTTGGTGTTTGCAGCTCAAACAGCCCTTGGCCCCAGTGTGCTGCTCCCAGATGGGAACCATCCGCCCCTGCTCTTCTCCCACTGGGGATCGGGAGCATCTGGCAGAGGCACCTCCTCCAGAATCCTCCTGGAACAGCATCCTTCGAGCAGGCAAGGAGAGGCTGCTTGAATAGGCAGCTTCCTACATTTCCCAGAAAGTAGGAGAAACTGTGGCATGGGCTGGGGAGCAGATTCAGATGGGGCATGTTCCTGTGGGGAGAGTCAGTGTGGCATAACACTGTGGTCACGGATTCTCACAGGGCTCCTGGAAGTGTCCTTGGAGTGACTCCGGGGTGAAACTTGGCTCCAGCCAGGTGTTACAGCCTTGAATCCTTCTGCCCTATAATTGCATCTGTTGGGGAGAGGAATAACAGGCAGGTGCATAAAGATGAGGCTGCAAGCTGAACACCTCCTGTGCTATATGGAGATACCAGGGAAGTGGAAAAAGTATGTTCAGGGCAGGGGAGGTTACAGGGCGGTCAGCAGCTTAGAGATGTTCTGAACTGCGGATAGCAGAGACACTGTTTTGTTTAATGTCCACAGCTGAATCTATGGGTTCCCTGATTGTGCCTGATCCTCACGGTTAATGTGGCTTCCACAGCATCCTCTGGTAACACAGTGGTACGACATGCCACAACTTTAACATAGACATTATTTGAAAACGGTTTTTTTCTTTAAGCTCACTGAACCCTCTGATCAGCCTCTTGTGCTGGCTCCAGCCATCAGCCTGCTTTAATGGACCGTGTAGGATCCAGGCATAAACCTATCTCTTAGGCCTGTCTTCTGAATCCTAACCCCAGTTTTGTGTTAGGCCGGAGATGAAAGGCTGATAGCAAGCCATCCGCTCCCCTCGGCCCACACCTTTCTACTCCTTCACGTCCTGCAGGACCCAGCAGTAGCTAAGCTCTCTGATCCTTTCTTACCTTAGCTATAGCAGCCTCACAGCAGCCAAACCCATGATAAGCCATTTATCTTTGACAGCAGCAGCCTTTTCCCTAGCTCCAAGAGCTTTGCAGGTCTTGAGTCTCTTCTTTCCTGAGTCCCAACCCTGACTTCAGCCTTTGCTGTAGGCCACAGGTCCCTGGTAGAAGCTTCTCACCCATCAGAATCTTCAGTTCTCACTTCTCAGGCCTTGCCAAATCCAGCAACAAATGAATGAATGAATGAATCTCTTCTGAATTCCTAGCGAAACCAACAGTAACAAGCATTTCTGTGTCTGGTGTCACATTTATAGAAGTTTTATTGCGTTTCTTTGTGGTTTGAGCCCCCTGCTCTGGCAGTACCGGCACTGCTGTTCATTTTAGGGGTTCCTGAAAGAATGGAGAGGGTGGTGGGCAGTTCTTTGGGATTCGGTCAGGAAGTTCATCAGCACAAATCCCTATCTGCCCCTTACAGAACCTGGAAGTTAGGAGCACTGGTTGGAGTGGGGTTTGAGACAGGACTTTGAGTTCCCATGTCCAGGATCTCGGCATAGTGGTCCTTCTAACAAGGTGATGCTGCCTGTTTCTGGTTGCTTTGTTTTGGTCTACACCTGGCTCTGGTACAGCCGCACCAGGGAATAAATTGCAGGCGGTGTATTGATACGTGAAGCAGATGTTGGCTTCCCAGGAAAAGGAAGGTAAAAGTGATGAATTTGCAATCGTGTGTGTTTGGTTTTTTTTTTTAATCGTGTGGATCTGAGGGGAGATTCCCTCTACCTTGTGCGGGTGGAGCTGAAAGCTGCCTGCTGGTTTCAGCAGGATTGCACAGCCCTGGCACCCTCCCCAAGGGGGCAAAACAGTTCCATCCCATCAAGACAAGCTGCCCTCTGGAATGGGGAAAGCATTTGGCAGGTGGGAGAGAGTCTCTTGCTTGGGTCTCTACAAGGTCTGAAAAGGGGAGAGAAACAAGCTTGCACGTTTTGGGAACCCACCCCCTAGCAGGCAAGAGCCTGGAGATGGGGAAGGGAAGAGCGTGGATTTGATCAATCTATGTGTCACTAGTGGGGGTGGGGAAGTTCATGCGTTCCTCTCATTTACCAGCTGACAGATCTCTGGGAGGAAAGGCGGCTGCTCCTGGAAATTATTAATGGCCTAGAAAGAGGTGCTGGACTGCCTCGTCATGAGGCAATTAAAGGCGAGAAGGGAGTGTGGCTGCAGCGTCTCTCCGGGCCTGGCTGTAATGAGTGATCTGTCCGCATTAGGTGTTGCTGTGCCTCTAATGAACTTGAACGGGTTTCTTCATTTATCCCTCACGTAATCATATTACATCAATTTAATGCCAGACCGGTGGGGGCCAGGGGTGTGGAAGGAGAGGTCAGACATTTTCATTTCCTAGCAGAGTAATCGTCACCCTTCTTAGTGGCAAAATTCCTGCTGTGGGCTGTCAGCTTGAGGCAGAGTGAGGAGGAAGAGGGGAGAAGCACTAGTTAACTGGAGCACCCTGAGCGTTGTCTTCTGGAGTCGCCGATGTGCTGCTGCTTCGGGAGCTGGAAGCTTGAGCGCTGGGTGAAGCCTGTTTGGGGGCCTCTGTGTGCGTCCATCGGAAGGGGAGGTGGGGGCTGAGCTCAGGGGAGGGGACCAGGAGGCTGGAGAAGTTCAGTAAATTCTTCTCAGTGACCTGCTGCCTATATCACAGAATCATTCAGGTTGGAAACGCTCTTTGGGATCATCGAGTCCAACCCTCAGCCCGACTTTACAAGCTCTCCCCTACCCCACATCCCCCAACAGCTCATCTAAATGACCCTTAAATACACCGAGGGATGGGGACTCCCCCCTCCCTGGGCAGCTGATTCCACTCTCTGACCACTCTTTCTGTGAAAAATCTTTTCCTCATGTCCAGTGTGACCCTCCCCTGCTGCAGTTTAAAGCTCTTCCCTCTTGTTCTGTCACTAATTCCCTTTGAGAAGAGCCCAGCACCAACCTCTCTGCAGTGTCCTTTCAGGGAGCTGTAGAGAGTGATGAGGTCTCCCCTCAGCCTCCTCCTCCTCACACTGAACACTCCCAGCTCCTTTAGTGGCTCCTCGCAGGATTTATTCTCCAGGCCCTTCCCCAGCCTCGTTGCCCTCCTCTGCCCTCGCTCCAGCACCTCGTAGCACACAGGAATGACCTGAGGGCCAATACCTGGTTCTTGCCCACCACTGGTTTCTCTGCACACTCTCAGATGAGCCCGTAGCCAGATCTGACGGTGGTTTTGCTAGTGCTGCTTGATGGATGAGAGCGTGCCCCTCGGTTGTTGCCTGAGCTGCTCAGGTGCCCATCAATATGATGTGGTGTGGTGAGGAGCACTGCAATCTATCTCCCGGGGAGCGGGTGCTCTCCGCATGGCTGCAGGCGCCCCAGAGAGCTCCGGCCGTGAGATGTGGCTTCCCATCCCTTGGGGGGCAATTGCAGGGAGGCTGTGTGCTGGCAGAGCTGACAGATGGGTGAAAGCAGAGCGAGCAGGGTGATGACGGGGAGCTGGGGATGCTAGCAGCCGCCTTATTAATGGCTCTGTATCCGGTTCAGTGACTAACATAGGTCAGCTGCTGAGGAGGGAGGATGGGGCAAAAAATAGATGCCATGGTGGGGCCCAGGAATCACGATGTGAGAAAGATGTACAGCCAGTTTCCAGGCAGAGTCTGAAGTGTGAATAAATAGCTGCTTCAACAGTTTTGTAAGCAAGGGCAGGCAACCTGCAGCACTGAGCTGGGCTTAGCTGGAAGGAGGCAAGAAGCTGGTGGTTCTGTCTCTCTGTACAGAATTTGTATTCTGTCATTTAAATGCCTGGTGACTCCCAGTGTCCGGAGCAGGGAGGGAGGGGAGAGGTGCTCCTCCACTGAACTCAGAGGCAGATGATTTTCCTCCAGGCCAAGCGTCCAGCAGCTCTTATTACTTCCTCCCAAGCTCCCTGGGACCTGGCTAGCCATCTGTAGGGGGAATTTGCAGCAATATCTATTCCTAGACATTTTTCTTGTGACTTAACAGTGGGAGTAAAACTAAGAGAGGTTTACAAGGATGCCCTGAACCCAGGAGTCTACCCGTTTTCAGTTACATATAACCATGGAAGGGTGGAGGTGGGTACACACAGGCACTATTGCTCAGTGGAACCAGCCCTTCTCTGGTCTCAACTGTGTGACTTACTCCTCCTCCTTTCTCATGCATGTTCAGTAGGCCCATTTCTTCCCACTCTACTCTTCTGTCTGTCTTCCTCTCCTAGCTTTCGTGTCTCATCAGGGCAGACGGGTTCACGACAGACACTTGGGTGCTGCTCCATAAATAGCACGTAGCAGGAAATCCTGGGCTTTAGCAGCAAAACCCTGCTATGGGCTTCTGAGATGATTTCTCTGACTGTGTCCCGGCCTCCTTGGCCTCTGGCAGGTGCCTCTGAAATGAAATGAATCCTTCTCTGGGCCTCTCTTGCAAGAGAGCATGGCTTTTGGAGAAATATGGTAAATTTTCCCTTTAGTGAGTTGTAGGACTGTACTCCTGAGCATGAATGTTGGGATGGTGGCACTTGGCCCTTTGCACATGCTGCCTGCATGTCTGCTTGTGTGCTGCTCTTATGTTTCCATTTACACAGTGAAAATACTTGCAGGTAAAGCCAAATCCAAGGAGCCATCAGACGACAGTTCAGAAGCAAGCAGCAAGGAGTATGGCGAGGATGATGATGAAGAAGGAAAGTATGAAATTGAGGAGGACGAGGAAGAATTGGAAGAGGACAGTGACTCAGATGGTAAGTAGTGCAGTTGGGCAGAGGGGAAGGGGATTATTGACAGTGCTGGTAACCGAAGGCTCCTTGGCGTTCTGGGGGCTCCCCTGCAAAGGAACCCTCCCCTCTTTTCTTGCTGTGCTACTGTTCTGAGCTGTAGGTGTCAGGAGGGACTTTTACACACAGACATGCACATGCCCTGGACAGGGAGACCTGGCAGTTCTGAGTTTATACTAAGAGAAGAGCGAAAGGGTTAAGATCTTTGCAGGCCTTCCTCTAACAAGCCACCAGTCCCTTTCATCTCTTTTTCAGGGGCTTCCTGCAGAGAGGCTCAAACAAACTCTTGAAGTACAGCCCACCCCAACTGGGTACAGAAACCTTGCTGCAAGGCTCTCTGCGGGTTACACATGCGGGGGGGTGTGAAGGGTGCACTTCACTTCTCATCCCAGCCGTGCCTGTGGTATGGGGTGCTGCACGGAGTAACCCTTTAGCTGCTGCTTCTCAGCAGCTTCTCCCAGGATAGGACTGGTAGGAGATCTTCTCCAAGCCCTGCAGTCATCTGGGGCTTTGACACCAAAAGCAGTGAGATCACGCTGTGTAGAATCACTGGCTTCCATCTGGGCATGGTCCTGATGGCTTCTGCCCAGAGACGGACGCGGGAAGCGGTGGGTGTCCATGTGAGAGGCTACTGGTTCAGGCGGCTCCTAGCCCACCCGAAGAGCCACCAGCTAAATGCCAGCTGTGTCGCCAGGGCTGCGCTAGACCCCAGGCCGGGCTTTGTCACAGCTGAGGAGAGAGTATCTTCCCCTTCCATCCCTTGTGCAGCGCCACAGCCAGCTTGAGAGCCTGCTGAGCCCCCCAAGAGCCTGCTCAGCACCACGTGTCAGGCCCCATCTGGCCAGTGCCTGCCAAGTCTCTCTGCTAACTTAGCAGACGGAAGCTGGGCCTGCCAGGGGCTCTGGCTGCTGTGGTGTTCCTTCACTGGGTTTTGTGTGCCACTCGCTTAGGCCTTTGTATTAGAGTGCCAAGGCTCTGCTCCTCTGCATGCCATTGGGTGTGATGTGTGGTTGTGGGGAGCAGCCACAAAAGCTCCTGTGTGCAGGCTTTCTTTACTAGTTTGGGGAGCAGGAAGGGGGAAGGAGTCCAAGTGAGAGCAAAATCTGACTTGATTTAGCACGGCAGATGGCTGTGGCTTGGCATGCACACCCAAACCTCGGCGCCGAGAATAGATGGGTATTATTTGATGCATGTTCTGACAATGCTGTAAAGGATAAAGAGGGAGAGTTTTCCTCCCCTGCCTACCGGAGTGCTCAGGCAAGCTGAAGGAAAAGCACCCTTCCTTGGTGTCTGGGGGAGCAGGAGCTCTGATCCCTTCCCCGCTGGTGGCAGCTTCCTTCACTTCGGGCTGTAGGAGCATGGCGCAGAGCCAGCAGTGTCCCTTAGTGCTTGGATACTGGGGTGTAGCAGCAGGGACATTCAGACCTGCCTGCCTCTGGCCTGTGGCACTTTCTCAGCCATCAATCAGGCAGGGCAGACAGGCAGCTCCTCCCCTCCTAAGTCTTAACCTACCTGTGCTGAGCCTTCCTGTTGTGCTTTTTACCAAAACCACACATGCAGCCTGGTCGGGCAATGGAACAGTGAGGAGCTTGTGTCTGTCACAGGTTCCCCCCAATCCAGCCGGCCAGAGCCGTAGGGGAGAACCCTGCCTGTGCTGTCAGTGCCCTGGGGAGGCACTTCTGTGGTCCTGATGCTCTGGTGTCACCAGTGCAGTTTGGAAAGATGTGAATTGCAGTGAGCATCCAGCCCCTGACCTGGGTAACCAGAGGCAGCTTTTTGGTCCTTTTTGGCGAGGGGCAGATCCTGGCAGCTGATCCAGGGAGTGCTGAGGGACACTGCTGCCCTCTGCAACCTGCGAGAGGCTGTGGGCACTGGGCAGGAGGGGTGAGTTGGTGCTGAGTGGATGCTCTGCCAGCAGAGCCTAAGAAGGATGGTCTGCAGGGCTGGCTTTGGGAGCAAAGTGTAGGAAGCTCAAGCAACACTTCTGGAAGGGGAGAGGGAAGGGCACTGGGAATGGGGACATGTACTGCACAGCCTGCACAGCCCCTAGAAACCAGTTCTGACGTGTGCTCCCACTGCTAAACTATCCAAAAGGAGGGAGCTTGGGGCTAGTTTTGCATTTCACAGTCTTGCTGTTGCCTGTGACAGCTCCTTCTGTCAGCTCGGAATGCCCAGCCTGACACCTCCAGTGAGGAAGACTGACCCAAGCTGTGAGGGTGGAAGGTTTGGCGGCACTGCCTGGCTCGTGCCCTCCCCCCCGCAGTTCTTAGTTTGTGTTTCTGCCTCAGGCATAACAGTTAGTTAGGTCTCATCTCCTGTCGCCCCAAGTGCTGCGCCGAGCACCCTGCAGTGCTCTCCGACCGCTATCTGGGAGCTGCAGTGGCGCCAATAAATTAATGAGTGTCTGGGATTAATTAGCAACGAGTTGCCTCGACTTGCCTCGCCCTCGCTCCCAGTAAAGCAGGATTTACACCTCTCGCTCTTTCCACCCACAGAGGAAGGCCAGGAAGCCGCTCAGGTTCCCCGAGGGTCCCAGAAGCAGAGGAGCTGCACTCGTGGGCTGTCACGATCTGACCTGGAACAGCTGGCCCAAGGAGAAGAGGACATCGTGGAGGACTTGGATTTCTCTGATGAGGACTGAGCACCCTCCCAGCCAACCCCTCCTCGCTTATCCCTACTGGATCAGCCACCCTCCAGCACCCGGAGCTGGTTCTCCAGGAGGTGGTAAGAGCTGGGGAGCACAGAGGGTGGGAGCCCGGCCCCAGGCACCACCAAGGACTTCAGTGACACGGCAGAGATGCTGCTTGGACTTTCAAGCTTTTTCTACCAGTTTTGTTTTTGGTAACAGTAAAATTGTGGTCATGTCAAGGCCAGTAAAACTGCTCAGTATAGGCAATAAAAAGCCCTCATTAAAATCCACTGCTTTAAACAGCACAGGGTTCAGTTTTAGCTCCTGCTGGAGTGTGAGCTGACCAAGGGAAGCACAAATTCTTTTGTCCAAGGCTCTTCCTGTTTGTCAGCCAAACACCCCCCGTCGCCCCATATTTTGCTCTGGGCCCTCACCAAACCCTCCTTTTTGCCAAGAAGTTCTGAAGGACTGTGTAGAGCTGTGCATCCTCACTGCAAATGGAAGCCTTTATCAGTAACAGCAGCAGCAGCTTAGTTCAATGAAGCTGGCTGTAAGTATGCTAAAGAAGTTCACTTTTAAGTGCCTTAGGATATGGGGGGGTGTGGAGATGGGAGGTTGTGCAGGCAGGAAGGAGTAAGAGGCAAAACTAATAATGTAGGAAACATACTTTCATTTTTGTGATGGCTGTTGGGTCTGTGTGTGATACATTTGTTTAGCAAAAACAAGGGATGAGTCTGAGCCCACGCTTTGTAAAACAGACCTATTGTTACCCATAGTGACATAACATCACCTCTTCCTGGGGCCAGTCCTAGCTGCTGCTGAACACTGTTTTGTTCTGAGCCACAAAAACAGTAGTGGTGATTGCAGGTGGTCTTGAGCACCCAGCCTTTCTTCATTAAATTGCCTCAAAGCCACTGCATCACCTGGGCAGCTTCTGAATGCAGCTCGTGATGCGTCTTCCTGTAGGAGTAGTGCTGGGGGGGGTGGTGGTGTGTAGCTCAGGGTGGGCAAGGGCAATTTGTCATCTGCTGGGAAAATATAAACAGCATCTCTCTTGAGACACTGTTAGTTTGCAGAACTGGCGGCTAAGAAATGTATTTCTTTGGAAAAGAAACTGGATATAGAGAGTATTTGCTGAGAGAGGTAGGAAAAGCTAAGTATTCTTAGGACTATCTTGACAGAATCACTCCTGAAAATTAACTGTGCCTTTTTGAGAGCATTGTTATTTGTTAATGCAGATTTTTGAAGAAGAGGAGGGCCAGGAATAAATACGATCTTTATTCTCCTCTGCCACCATTCAGTGAGGTCAGCAGGGCTAGGGGTGGCCAAGCTACCTGCACAGACATGGTCATCTCTGCCTTCTGCACTCGTGTTTCCTCTCCAGCATCCTTACTCCTGCACACCACAAGAGGACAAGATGGTCTTTTAAAAACCATTTTAAAAAGAACAATTCCCACCCCCCCCGTCCTTTTTTTTGTTTTTTAAGTAAGTTCTCTTTTCATGGAGTCAGAAGAACCACAGCTCAGAAACACTGCCTTACTGCAGATAAAAACCCAAATACACTGCAGCCTGGCTAGTGGTCTCCCTCTCCCATGTGTAAGCGATAACAACTGGGTGTACATAAAGAGGTAATTATGCTCTTCCTGTCCTACACAAGTGCTGCTCCTTCCCTGCTTCCAGACACCGTTACCACACGGGTAATTACTGCTGGGGTACAGCGTCGTGGGGTGTTTGCTTCATTCTGTTTGTTAGGTCTTTCTGGAGCTTGGCTGCAGGAATAGGGATAGAGAAGTAGTCATCTTCCCCAGTGCAGCAATTACTAGACCTGCCCTTCCTAGACATGCACTAGGATACCCCCTTTGTCCTGGAAGGGCAAGGAAGTAACCTCAGAAATTACTAATTTGGGGTTTATTGTTGACATCATTATCATCATCATCACTTACAGCCCACTCTGAGGGGGCCAAAGCACCTGCTGCTTCCCTAAGGGGTTTGGGAGAAGCCTGAGGCTCCCTGAGGCTGGTACAGCCTGTGTCTGCAGGCAGTGACATACAGGAGCCTGGGGTATGACTGCAAAGATGAGAATTGAAAGCCCTAACTCTAAAAATTAAAAAAAAAAAAAAAAAAAAAAAGTTTACCTTTTATTCCAAAAGAGAAAGGAGTTGCTTTTTCTCCTTTCTCTTAGCTGGGCAAAGCACTTGTCTGCCTTTTGGCAGCTGTGAGCCAACCCTCAGATCAGCTTTTAGGCCGGAGATGTAGCAGCTCCGAGGCACCGAGTTACTGACACAGGGAAAGGAAGGAGACTGCTGGGGTGGAGCAGCCACTTGCAAGGAGCTCAGGAAGCCAAGTACCATTTGTAAATTAAGTGTTTGTCTTTTTTATTTAAATTGATTGCTGGAAAGCATTTTTATCGTGATGTGATGGATAATGACTTTTTTTTTACAATATAAAGAAGCTAATGTACCACCAAGCTATTTTGTAAGAAAAACGGTAGCACGTGCAACGTTTAAAGAAAAAAAAAAAAGGGGGGAGGGGAGAGAGAGAGAGAGAGAGAAAAGTACCACATGTGATTGTTGTTCACAACTGTACAAGTCACAGGAGGTCACCCCCAGGAGTTACCATCTCATTCACAGTAGTAAAAACTCTACCCATTGTTTTTAGCCTGAACCCCATAGCATCCCTCCCCCTCCTCTGGGAACGCACAGGTATCTGTCTCATGGTCCACAGCAGGCCAGAATGTGCAACTACATCCACCTCTGTAACAAGGCTTGAAAAAAAAAAAAAAAACAACAACCCCAAAACAACCCTATGAACAAAAAAACCCCACCCCAAATGTATAAATGAGTCTGTTGTACATGTGAAAGAGGGAGGGGGCCACGTTGGAGTGAGGCCTGTGACCCTTCATCCAACCGAAGCACACGCTTTTTTTTTTTTTTTTTTCCATTTAATGATCAGAAAATAGCTTCTGACACATGTCAAGAACAGGCTGTTCTATTGTATTCCCGAGGGGATTATGTCATGCAAATAGTCCTGACGGTACCGTGAGTGTGCACACACACGGCTTGCACAGATACTCACTCTGCTGGCATCGTTTCCCTAACCCACAAGCTATACGTTTGTTACATTATGTTAAAACAATAAGAGCAACTTTACTACTTTCCCTACAGCCCTCACTGTTTATGAGGGGTCTAATAAAAAGGTTCTGTGGGCAATTGTTCCCTGTGGGTCAATTCAGTAGGAAATAAAACTCTTACATTTCTTAAAAAACAGAGAACGCCAAATAGCTCACAGACATCCTTAGATCGGATTGGGCGGGGGAGAATATGAGATATGGGCTGAAACTAGAAAAACCCTGCTTCGATTTAATCAATAGTGTTTAAAGTTCTATAATAAGGCATTGGGGGGGACGGGGAGTAAGTGGGGAGCAAAGCCCTGATGTCGCTAACTGAATAATGCCGCAGTTGTCTGGTTTGAACACAAGCCTGTGTTTTTGTTTAAGCCGAAATGTGAAACAGCTGTGTAGGTGCTGGAAAGTTGTGGGGCCTTTGGCCCTTGCTGGGAGGTGAGAACTGCTTCAGGAGAGTTTTCTTGGGTACTGCAGAAGAAGGGAGAGGCTGCAGGCTTATAGTTTCCTGTGCAGTTAACAGCAGCCACCCTGTAGCCAGGTTTATTTTTTTT